TTATTTTATTTTATTTTATTTTATTTTTACCCCGCCCCTCTAGACAACGTCTACTTTACTTTGGGGGTGGGGGGGAAGTGTAACTGTACAAAATATTGCTGAACAAGTAACAACTGGGAATAACTGCTCTCTTCTGTTCCCAATCCTATGGTCTTTTCCCCCGTTTTCCCTGCTGTGTTCCTACCTATTTCCTGTGTCCAGCTGTAGTCCTCCACCGGGGTCAACTTCTTGGGCTCAGGGGTAAGTCCTAGACCTCCTTCCTTCTAGATTCCAGATGCCATCCTGTATCTTCTTACCATTGACTTTTCCATTCAGTTTTCCCATCTCTTTATCTACTCATCTTTCTCCTTCGGTTCATTTATTCTTTCATCTCTCATTTTCAGTTAAAGTCATGAAGACATGTTGTGACAGGAATATTCTTGTAACTCTGTGTTTCGAGCACTAAACTTCTGAAGGCAGTGGGAAGTTGTAGTTCTCCACACCTGGAAATCACCAGGTTGCAGAAAGTTGCCCGTTATACTCATTTATTCCTCTTCATGCTCACTAAGAGACAGTCTTGGCCAATAAGCAAAAAAATACATTGTGATTGCCCTCTTTCCTACCATAAATCATGTTTTTCCTTTAGCAATGTATCCCCTTAAGTTGGTATTCTTTGTAGCAATTGGCTGCCAAAGGTCTGCGTGCTATTTTCAGCCAAAAGCTGATGGTAATCCACAGTCTAGTTGAGAAATACATTTTGCTAGTGAACGTTTCACTGGTACATAACAGAACTAGAAGTGACCCGTTTGAACATGCTGTTTAGAATGTGTGAATAACACACAGCATATCATTTGGCCATGAATCAGTTTGCAAAATCTGCATAATGGGGATTTCTTTTTGCCTTCCGAGATCAGAAAAGGTACATAGCGCTAAATGCTCCAAAGCCACTTCAAGCTAATACCACTCCTCCCTTTAAATGTTACATATATTTTTACTTGTAGAACTCTTTATCTCTTCCCACGGAGATGCATGGGGATCCATGGGGGAAGAGGATATTTGCAGGATTATTTACACTTCCCACAACCCTCTAGGAGAGCAAATTCACAGAGCTGTACCTCCCAGGCTCCTGAGAGAAGAGGGAATGATTACTAAACCATCTTTAAGCTCGTGGTCCAGATAGGAACTCCCCTTGCCTCTTTTCGTCTTGTCTTAAATATGTGCATTTCTCCCTCCCTTGCTTTTAGCCAATAAGACCTCTCCAACATCTGGTGAAGGGAACCGCCCTGGCGGAGTGATTCACGTGTATGGCAGTGATGACGGCAGCGACAAATCGGCCAGTAGCTTCATCCCGTACTGCTCTATGGCTCAAGCTCAGCTCTGCTTCCACGGTCACCGCGATGCGGTCAAGTTCTTTGTCTCTGTGCCTGGTAAGCGGGGTCTCTGGAGTGCAGAGGTTCCCAAATATTTTGGACTCACAGTCTCCTTGATTTACTGGCCACTGGTAATGGTTCCCCTTGCTCAGAGGGGCCACGAGGGGCAGGATCCGCTCACACACACACACACACACACATTCCCAGCCATGCCATCTCTTCTCTCCCTCCCCCCAAATATCCCCAAGGGCCATCTCCTTCCAGGTCCTGACACAGGAAACTCATGAGACCCCCCCCAGTAAGCAGCTCCATTGGGGACCACAGAGATGAGGAAAGGAGAAGCAGGCATTTCTGGCTCCTGTTTGACAAAGAGCTATGAACAGCTCCTCTATAGCCTTTATAGCTCTATGTTCTGTCCCTTTCCCCATGACGCTCCTGGCTGGGCTTGGCAGCGCCCCACAGCACCGTAGCACACACTTTGGGAACCCCTGCTTTAATGTGTTGCCGAGTGCTTTTTTATAACATTGGAAGGTTTACAGTGGACCCTCGACTTACGGAATTAATCAGTATTGGAACGGTGGCCGCAGGTGAAAAAGTCCGTAAGTCGAGGGTCCATTTCCCATAGAAATGCATTGAAAACTATTTAATCTGTTCCAGCATTTAATCCGTGCTGTCTTTCGGCTTCCCAGGCTTCAAAACCCCCTCCCCTGCCCTCTGTCTCCCGTCCCCGTTGCCCTCTGCCTCCTGTCCGTGGGGACAGGAGGTGGAGGGCAACAGGGATGGGAGACAGAGAGCAGTGGGGACGGGAGGCAGAGGGCAACAGGAGTGGCTTTGAATTTCCCACCCTTTCCCCCTGCCTTTCATAGGTCCAAGCTCCGGCCGCAAGTCGAATGAAAATTTTGCAGCCGGAGCTTTTCGTACCTCGAAATTTTTGTAAGTAGGGACCTTCGTAAGTCGAGGGTCCACTGTATTAAAGCTGAGCCCGTTTTTTGCTCCTCTTGGTTTCTGCAGTTTGATTGTTGGGAGTTGGGTGACGCAGGAAGTCACTGTCAGAAAAGCAAGGCAATGACAATGTGGTAGCCCAGTAAGAGTGCTAAGAAGAGCGCTCACGGGCTGAAATCGCGTTGTTTAGCATAGGAACTTGCACTAAAGTAGGCCCATTGAACCAACAATGTTCAGATGGTTTTCCAAGCAAACCTCTAGGCGTGCGGAATTTACCTTCTGTGTTGTCATAATTCCTAGCTGGGAGATTCGGAGAGTCACATAGTCCAAAAAAAAAAAGTAAAATTCTCAAGCTCTGAATTTGGAAATGTCTGCTCTGTGGCCTAGTTTATGCTTAGAAGATGTTCCTAACAAGGTCCGGATTCTTCTAGGCAATGTTCTTGCAACGCTAAATGGAAGCGTGCTCGACAGCCCGTCGGAGAACCCCAGCACCGAGGCAGTCGAGACGGAGGGGCAGAAACTGAAAAATGTCCTGGTGCTGAGCGGTGGGGAAGGATACATCGACTTCCGGATTGGTTAGTTCTTTAGCATGACGCTTATTTTGTAGAAAACGGGGTAGGAGAACTAAGATTAAGATCTCCCAGTAGATTACTGGACAGTTTGCACTAGCTTGGCAAAACATTGCTTCTTTTTCTTTCAGAACAGGTGACCGAATATCTGGTTTGTAGTACAGTAGGAACCCTTTATCCATGCAATCAGTATCCGCTAATTCAGTTATTCATGGTCTGAAAATATTAAAATTAAAAGAAAAATCCCCCCAATATATACAGTATACAGTGGTGCCTCGCTTGACGACGTTAATTTGTTCCAGCGAAATCGCTGTAGAGTGAAAACGTCATCAAACGAAATTTAAAAACCCATTGAAACGCATTGAAAACTGTTCATTGTGTTCCAATGGGCTGAATACCTGCTCGTCCAGTGAAGATCCTCCATACGGCAGCCATTTTTGGTGCCTGTATAGCGAGGAATCGGTCCTAGAAAACAGTGGGGGGCCATTTTGAAAGCCAGCGGCCATTTTGAAACCTGACAATCAGCTGTTTGCTGATTGTCGTAAAGCGAAAAATCAGTTCCCGAAACATCGTTTTGCGATCGCTTTTGCAATCGCAAAAACTTCAACCTTAAGCAGATTCGTCCTTAAACGGGGTAATCATCCAGCGGGGCACAACTGTATTTCTAATGATAAATCTAACAGAACTGGCCACTAGAGGGAGGCAGAGACCATGCTATGTATAATATTTGCTATTATAATAGCATTTGCTATAATCTGCGTTTTTCAGCATCCGCAAGAAGGAGGCTTGGAACCGATTCTCCAGATACATATATGGGGGGTCTTAGTGTAATACTCTCCCTCACAACCTCCAGATATCTCTAGAAAGAGACAAAAATGTATTTCGTCTAAATTTTGGAGAAAACCTCCCTGCTTTTGAACTTTCCAGAAGCAATGTGTGCATGTTGAAAGCACAGTTGGAGTCCCAAAGTAGCATGTGACCCAGTACTTTAGTTTTGCAACATTCAGTTCATGACCCAAAAATGCATTAAAATGTACATGTCAGGAGAAAGTGTGCACAAAAGTATCTTTATTAGTAAAATAGGATGTTTCTTGCCTAAAAAGGAAGTTGCATTAGAGACGTAGGTGCACATTAATTTAGGTACATTTGTATTGATTTTAAAAATGAATTCATACTCTTAAGAGATCTGAATGGCAGTTCCCTTCTCCTATAAAACAAGGCAGCAAAATGAGAAATACTGTGCCATACAAGGACAATACTTTCCCTTAACTGAAGTTTTTCTTATACTTAGTCATATACAAACAACCCTTGAGAACAGCTACAAAAATTCTTTTTTTTCCCAACCGCATGGCTAGCGATTGTGGGAATCTGGGAGGCATTGTGTACAAAAGGAACTTTGCCAAGCCCTCTGTTGAGCATCTGAAAGCAGGGGCATAAATAGTGTATATCACTGATTTCTTGAGGATGTGTTTCGTGGGCCTGACAGGGAGCAGCGGTATTTCCACATATACCCTTTCCAATTCATTGCTTTGAGTTTTCTCAACAGGCGATGGAGAAGATGATGAGACAGAGGAAAGCGCAGGGGAGGCTCCTTCTGTCAAGCCCATCCTCTCGAAGGCTGAACGGAGCCACATCATCGTGTGGCAAGTGTCCTACATCCCCGAATGAGCTCCTCTTCTTTCTGCCAAGGTAACGTTCTCCCTCCTGATTCCCAAAATCCCCCGAATGCCAAAATGTACATACAGAACTCCTGCATTATTTCCTGTTGGCGGAAAACTGAACCACAGACAGCAGCGACGGCTTCTGCACCGGCCGGTGCTTTCCCTCCTCGTCTCACCTCTAGGCTCGCAGCTTTCATCTTGGGCCAGCGCACGTTCTGAAATGCGCCAGGTTCGTCGTTGGCCTTCCCAGGGGGGGGGGAGAGTGGTGAGAATGAAGCACCTGGCAAGTTGGGCCTTAGGAAGCATGAGAAGAACCGACCTGGTTTGGAAGGGTGGGCAAGTTTTTCAAGACAGTTCCCTCTCAACGCCCCTCTCCTACTTGCATGGGAAAAGACCCCCCAGCTGTTTGTTGGCTCCTTCCCTCTTTCTAATATTTGACACCACCGAAGGTGTGCTGATGGCATGCAGTCGCTCTACGAGTATGGAAGAAACGGTTTCCAAGATGAGAAGCAACATTCTGAATCTGTATCTTCCAATCTATGGGATAGTTTCGGAGCAGTGGGGACTTGATTTAAGAATCTGAAACAGGCTCTAACAAGGGGTTCAAACATGTTCAAAAACACAGTGATAAGTCACCAGTGGGAGGTCAGAACCAAAGAATCCACCAAAGGCCCCCGGCGCCTGTCCGTTTCTGGAGCAATTTTGAATTGAACCTGGGCAGTATCTGCAGAGCAGACCCGTTTTGAATGGTCCGAGGCCGACAGGAGGAAAACAACCTCTGTTCACTGGCAGGAGGGTGAGGTCAAGAAAGATTTGGGGAGTTCTTTCTCCGAGCAGCGTTGGAAAGCCACCAAGCTCTGTTGTATGTCGTTGTTACCACTCGCTTGGGTTTGTCCTGTGAGATTTTTGTAGAGCCCGGATGGAGGATCAGGCATGATGGATGGCCTCAAGAGCCCTGAAAGGTCCTTTGTAGGCCATTTAGGAAGGAATGTGTTGAGGAGAAAATACAGGCCCCTGTGGCTGTTGTCTTTTAAGCCAGGGGATCTTGAGAGGAAAGCAGACGGAGGTGTTGAAGAAAGAACAGTGGAGGTATGCATTTGGTGAGGGAGGAGCAGAGACGAGAGGAAACACACAGAGAGAGAGAGAGAGAGCAAGCCAAGAAGGTTGGAGGAGAACACTCTTGGTGAGTGGTTTATAGAATCTGCAAGAGAAAAAGCAGAAACTGACCAGAGGGGGACAGAATCAAGCTGGATGATACAGATAGCGCTTTGTTAAAAGCGGGAAGCGCTGAACGATGTTGACTTGCCACAGCAGCTTTTCACACCCCCTGTCAAGTGTGCAAATTAGCTTACTTTGTTTTGGGGTTGATCACTGGGAGGGTTAATGCGGACTTCATGTGGTCAGCCACACCGCTCCAACCCTAGCGCGCTTTCCGCTTCTAACAAGACGCTGTTTCTGTCGTCTTTCCAACTGTTGGGATGACCGAAAATTTGTGCCAGAAAAGGAATGCCTGAGAATGGATTTCCATTTTGAGGGAAAGTAACTCTAGGAGGGGAAGGGGGGGTTCTTCCCCAAGGGGAACAGAGGCTGATGATTATGGCTTCAAAAGCCATATGATGAAACAGCTGGAGCAACTCAGATGTGCCCTGGTGTCCTGTGGAAAAAAAAACATAAAAATCCCTCATAAAAACCCACTTCCGTTGAATTCTACCCCTTGGTAGAATTCTTAAAGCCCTAGGGTTTCTCATGAGCGAAATGGCCCTTGTAACAAGAACATCAGCTTCGTTCTTGGCGGCAAGTGCTGGGAGACCCTGGGTAGCCCATGGCAGCAACCGGCACACGATTCTTTTCTTCTGTCCCCCATTGCCCTTCCTACTCCTACTCATTTCAGCTTCTTTCCTTGGCCTTTCTGAGCTCTGCGTTAGGCCAGGCTATAACGTTCAGCTCTATCCAGGTGTTTTATTTTGGCATTCTGAAAATGTTGCACCTCAGGGGCCGTCTGGCAGGGCATCGTCTAACAGCCTCTGTTTTTAGGACACAAGATTTAGGTAGGTCTCTGGTGTGTGCACAAGAGTCACACTGCAGAAAACAAGACCTTGTTCAAGACAGTCGCTGTCATGACACTACCAGGTACAGTGGTGCCCCGCATAGTGAGGTTAATCCGTTCTGGATTAACCTTCGCTATGGGAAAACATCGTAAAACGGATCAAAAACCCCAATTGGAACGCATTAAACTTTGTTTAATGCGTTCCAATTGGGCCCAAAACTCACCATTCTCCGATGTTTTCCCTTGTTCCGGCGGCCATCATGGGTGTACCAGCGGCCATTTTGAGCGTCCCGGTGGCCATTTTTTGTGTTCCTGCGGTCAGCTTGGATGTACCAGTGGCCATTTTTTGTTCTGGCGGCCATCTTGGGTGTACCAGCACCCATTTTTGTGTTCCGGTGGCCATTTTGGAGCCGCAGAACAGCTGTTCCCCCATCGTAATGCGAGCGCGCCCTCGCATTAGCGATGGGGAAATCCACATCGCAATGCGGATTCATCGTTCAATGGTGCACTCGTTATACGAGGCACCACTGTATTTGAAAACAAAATGCTCATGGAACAGAGCCATCCGTGATCTGGTATTTGGGTGAAATGAACAAGCAGTGCAAGCATTAGAGCTTGAGAAAGTCAGGGTTTGGGATTACAGTGTCTAGAAATCCCACCAACCTGGTCACTACCTATGTTGGTGAGATGAGGGATACGAGTTTACTTCTCAGAACCCTTCTAACTTTTCCAAGGTCTGACACCAAGACATCCAATTTGCATAAGATCTCAGGTGCCATTTCCTTTTCAAAAATTATTATTTAAAAGACCAGTTATCAAGGGATAGTAAAACGGCCACTTATGGCAGAGACGTTGACTGACTGTCAACGTAGACGAGAGCAGGTGAGTTGGATATGTAGGACTCTTTCGTTAGCTTCGGCTAACCTTGGATGGGTTGAAGGATTCGTGCTAAAATTCTGGCCATAGATATTCCTTGTTGCTTTAACTAATAGGAAAAGGCAAGAACCTGGAATCGCTGCATGTCTGGACTACCAACATCCAGTCTCCCAGCCAAGATGGCTATGCTGGTTGGGGGATTATGGGAGCTGTAGTCCAAAATGGTAATGCTTCCAAACGGCTATAAAAGGCCACAGCATTTGGAAGGAGGGAGTAAAGAGGAAGGCATTGAGGATGATGGGTCAATTGGAAGGTCTGAGAAAGGACAGCGTGAAAAGCAGATTGAGCGCGAGGACAGTCTCCTTAGCTGCTTGAAAGGCTGTGTAGAAGCCCAGCTGCTTGGATAATGAACACACAGAGTTTGGTTCTCACCCAACCTGTTGCCAAATAAAATTAAAAAACAGACACTGCAGTGCGTTACAGTACTTAGTTACTTTTCTAAATGAGGCGACTACACAGTTGACAACACCTCTTGTAGCTCCTGCTTCCAAGCCTTTTATTAGTTACAACAGGGTTACTTCGCCTTGCCCAGCTATCTACAGGATACACTGAGAGACCCTGACACGAGTTGAAAGTACGTTCTCTTTCATTCAGAAAAGCACACCTTCCATGGGATGGGAGCAGGGCGGAGGGAGGGGGAGGGGATCCCGCTGGGGGAGAGCGCCTCCGAGGCCGGCCAGCTCTTGCGCCTTCCTGCGGTTTTGCCTGTCTTGCAAGGTGGAAAAGAAACACGCCCTTCCCTGCCACATCTCCACTGTGATGTATGTAAAGTTAACATGTATGTTACAAAAGGACTTTTTGAAAAATCTGTCTTAAAGGCCTGTAAACTCTGCTGCATCATCGGTCTGAAGATGTAAAGAAACTGATGTATGGGGGGGAAAAACCCTGTTGCATCATCGGTCTGAAGATGTAAAGAAACATGTATGGGGGGAAAAACCCTGATACTCTTCTATGCTTTGTCCCCTATGAGCTTATCGAACACATTGAACCATATCTGTCCTGTATGTAATAAAAAAAAACATTGTTAACATCACAACAGCTTTAGTAAGTGATTCCAGTGAATGATGATTGCAGAGTAGTTGGAACATGGGAAAACCTTTGGATGATTGCCAGAATCTCAAATGGGGGGGGCACTGGGCCATGCTTACGGGGGGCATTCTATGGGCTTGTGCCTGCAGTGTCTCCATCTTTTATGATGGGTACAGGCATAAATGGGACTGGTAAACAAAATGCCGCAACTGTGAATTCAGGATTCCAAATAACCAAGGCTTCTTTTTGGGTACTCTCCATTCTTTTCACCATACTCTCTCGGCATTCTATGGGCACCAGACACACTCAAGTCCTCATTGTGCCATTTTGCCTCCTAGATGGCCTTTTCCTAATTCTACACATTTCAGGATCCTCTCAAGCATACAGATTCCTCCTTATTTCTCAGTAGCCCCATTCTGGCGACATACCTGTCAAAACCGAACAGATTCTGGCGACATACCTGTCAAAACCGAACATTAGCATTCACATTCTTTCAGCTATAAGTGTTTACAATCTGTCTACCACTATAAGGTATTACAGTCACCCAGAGAAGGGAATCAGGTCACCTAGTCCAGGGGTTCGCAAAGTGGGCTCCCCAGATGTTTCCAGCCCATTGGAACACATTGAAGGGGTTTCATTGTGTTTCAATTGGCTTTTTATTTTCGCATTACGACATTTTCGTTCTACAGCGATTTCGCTGGAATGAATTAATGTCGTAATGCGAGGCACCACTGTACTTGGAGGAGTGGCAAAATATTTCTACCTAACAAGAAAGAAGTTCAGTTGCCATGACCCAAATGGTACATATTGGACAATGTTGGTCCTTCCAGTGTTTTGGGCTTCATCTCCCAGATGTTTCTGCCTGAATGGCCAATGATAAAAGGTCGTAAGGATTGTAGTCCAAAAATCCGAAGGGCCAAGAATACCTGAGCCCTAACATGAGAAGGCTACGTTAACCTTTCTCAACCTTGCGCCCACTGGGAACTGTGACTCCCACCTGCCCTGGCAAGCAGGACTGTGCGGGCCAGGACGGTTGGGGTTGTAACTGAACCCCTATGGAGAGTGCCGAGTTGCAGGAACGCTGGGCTACAGTAATTGGGACATAAGAAAGAAAAATATGGAAATCAAATGCTAAACTGACTGGTAAGATTAGATATAGTACGCCTTCTCCCTTACCTCCCCCATCCATTCCATAAAAGGGCAGGGTCACCATCCAATGAACAGTCCAAAGGAAGCTGAAATGGAAGGGATGGGGTGGTTGGTTGGTTGATTGACTGCCCATTAGTGCACAGCACTCTTCTGGACGGTGTACACATGAAAACAACAAAAATAAAGACAGGCAACCACAAGCGAATAAGCCAACATTAAAACCTAGTGGTGCTGCAAATCAGAATGGCCAGACAGGGGCAAAGAACATCATCAAATCAGGCTGCCTCTGAACGCCTCTCGATGCGTTTTCAGCAGCCTCTTAAAATGGGGGAGGGAAGGACCAGGCGCAACTCCCCCAAGAGGCAGTTCCAGAGAGACGGCGCAACCACAAAGGCCCGACCTCTTGTTGAGGATTTTCTGGCTCCCTCCGGCATCCCCACCCAGAGGAGCCTTGCCGGGGAGGATCTGGCGGTGCGGGAGGATGCGCAACCCCTGAGCGACAGTGGAAGAAGCGACGCTTCAGCAGCCCCAAAGTTTCTGCTTTACTCATAAATCCAGCGCTCTGCGCCATCCTCCCAACAGGTCAGTTCCTCTGCACGGAACCAAAGTGAAATCTCTCGGTGGGCGCTCTCTACGGAATCGCTCCCATGAATCACGTTCCTGTAGGGAAAGACACAGCTTCTCAATATGCATGTGAAAACACGGTGTAATGGTACATGAATTTCTGTACCGATGGGCATGAGTTTACTAATTTAAAAAAAAGAGGTTCTGTCTTAATGGCCATAGCCCAGTGAGAGAGGAGCACGTCTGTTTCCTCCCGAAGGCCCTGCCTGCAATCTCCCGTACCTCCAAACATAACTGGAGCAGCTGTCTGAAACAGTGGAGAATGACTTGTACAGACATGTATGCGAAAGACCCTCCGTCTGACTAAGAAAAGACAGGGGCTCCTATATGGAGAATTAGTGTAGGGAAAGCGCCGCAGAGGGAGACCACAGCTGTGATACAAGGAGATCTGCAGGAGGGATCTGAAAGCCTTAGGAATGGACCTCAACAGATGGGAAACCCTGACATCTGAGCGTTCAGCCTGGAGGCAGGCAGTGCATCGTGGCCTCTCCCAATTTGAAGAGACCCTTGTCCAGCAGGCCGAGGCAAAGAGGCAGTCCCAAAACCAGCAAAATCAGGGAGCTGGACAGGGGACAGATTGTATTTTGTCTTCATTGTGGAAGGGATTGTCACTCTCAAATTGGCCTTCTCAGCTACACTAGACGCTGTTCCAAGTCCTCCATACAGAGCACATTGCCCTAGTTTCTCGAGACTGAAGGATGCCTACTCTAGTACCACAATGGAATCGATGACCTTGGGAGGTGGCGAGCCCTTCAATGCTGTATCACACTTGTTTTACTGTCCTACCTGGTACTCTGCCTCCTTGATCTTGCCTTGCAGAAGAGATGTGTAGCAGTCAAAGGAACCCTCACTTACTTGCCCACTTCGATGCAAAAATCTCCTCGGATAGTTCCAGGCTTGGAATCAGCTGGGTCAGTCTCCCCGATCATGACGCGAGCCGTCTTTACTACTTCCAGTCCCTGCCAGACCTGCAGAAATGTGGGTCAAAAGAGACAACACGTAACAGATGCTGTGGCCTTGTTCGGTCTTCCCCTTTGCTTATCCTCTCTACCTGAGAAAATACTAAAACCTGGGAGAGATAAAAGCCTGTTAACCGTCTTTTATCTATCTATCTATCTATCTATCTATCCATCCATCCATCCATCCATCCATCATGAAGAAAACTCAGCCTCTGTGGCCTTGGGCAAACTTCATTCATTCATTCATTCATTCATTCATTCATTCATTCATTCATTCATTCATTCATTCAATCTCTATACCACCCATCTGGCTACTAAGGCCACTCTAGGTGGTTCACAACAGAAAATGCTAAAGGTTGCCTAAGGTCAGATCACATCTTTAAGGGAACGGCAGCCCCTATCCCCCTAATACTGAGCAGATAAAGAAGAAATCATGAAAAGGGCAGGGTCAAGCTTTCCTTCGTTGGATTTGTTGCACCTAATCATATGCAGAGGAGAACTAGGAAACGTTCCTCTCTTTTTTTGACAACGTGGGTGGTGACTGTGGGAACTTTGGAGGTATAGTCTACCAAAGGACATTTCCTAAGCTCTTCTGAACCTCTAAAAGCAGAGCATGAAGGATGTCTGCTATCAACTCCTTCGAGACCTGTTTCATGGAACTCTTACAGGAGCAACAGCGCTTCCGGGCCTCCTTTTCCCAATTCATTGCTGAATTTTCCCAAGAGGAGACGAAGCAGGCGGGGAGCTCCAGCCAATGCCTCCTTGTTACAACGTGAGGTTTCTGGCCTCGTGAATCTCTCACAACTCCCTGAGACACCAGACATGCAAACACATTTGCAGTCTCTGGACTGGTCAGTGTCCAAACAAAAGCAGGCCAGTTTGCCAAACCCCGATGGAAGCGACCTCTCCTTAAAAGAAACAGGCAGCGTTGACTTTCTGAAGCAGCGCTTCCTCTAAAGATGTGTTCTGGATATCATTTGGGTTGGCCCTTTTCGTCTAAAAAGATAAAAAAGAAATCAGACAAACCATTTCCATCACAAAACAAATATTCCCCAAGGACCACCTGAATCTTCTCAGGCCTAATGAAGTCAGTAAAAGTTTTAGGTTTGAGAAAAACGGTGGGAAGTGTAATTTAATTTTGCGGTGTGGGTGGTTCCTTTTAATGATTCTAGATGAACAAAATACTCTAGTCCAGTGGTCCCCAACTTTGGGCCTCCAGATGTTCTTGGACTTCAACTCCCAGAAATCCTGGCCAGCAGAGGTGATGGCGAAGGCTTCTGGGAGTTGTAGTTCGATAACATCTGGAAGCCCAAGGTTGGGGACCACTGCTCTAGTCCATTTCCCCCCTTACCTGTGTTTCCCAGTTCCTCCCCATTCTAGGGTTAATGAGTATGCTTAGCCAGCACTGACCTGGTTTGGTTCTCCTTCCCAAACCACCTTATTTTCCCTTCTACCAACCTTGCAGAACCTGAAAGCCTGCCATGAGTTCACTCTTCTGAACCGGTGATGCCATTTGGCAACATAAAGATCCATGCACTTGGAGAATTGAGTTCACCATTAGTCTATAGGGCAGGAGAAGAAGGGACTGGGAAGTCGTTCAGTGGTAGACCCCTGAAATTTGTCTCAGATTCAGTCTCCAGCATCCCTACATAGGTGATGAAAATCATGAAACTTTGGAAAGCTGTTTCCGGTACAGAGCAGCCTAAGCCAACCCACTGTGTCTGACAACTAGTCCCACCATCTCCGGCTGGCAGGACCAATGATCAAGGATTAGGAGGGCTGTAAGTTGAAAACATCTGGAGCATTCAAGGAGGGGCTAGTCCACCCAGAGCTAAAGAAATGGCTGATTTAAATAATAGGACTCTCATCTACCAAGTCAAAATACTAGTCTGTTTATTATTGTTTGTATAGACTTCCAGTTCTCCAGAGTTTCAGACAGGGTCTAAGATGCTGGTTTAGACAGCACGGAACTAGATGGTGTAATGGTCTGAATTGTTGTAAGGCAGCTCCCTATCTTTAAAAATGACTATTTGCCTTCAAAAGAACAGAAGCACTGCCTATTGGATCAATGCTAGAGAGCTCACTGGTTTAAGCATCTGTCTGTGGAACCAGAGGTTGGGAGTTTAGATTCCCCCACTGGGCCTCCTTGATGGAGGCTGGACTTGATGGTCCATAGGGTCCCTTCCAGCTTTGCAGTTCTGACATGATGATCTAGTTGATCATGGATGCCTTACATGACTGTCACTCACCATGGCCACGACAGGTCCCGAGCTCATGTATTTCACCAGGCGGCTATAAAAAGGACGCTCACGGAGAGAGATGTAATGTTCCTTCAGTAAGTCTTCTGAAGCCTGGTTGGAACACAAGAGCCAATCAACATATTTTTTCTTCCTCCTATCCTCCCGAACGTGGACAAGAGCCATTTCTGGACAGTTCCTAGGACTCCCCCCCCCCAGGCCAGATGGTTAGTATAAGTATGGCTAGCAGGATCTTGGAAGTTATAGACTTGCCAGACCTCAGATGGACAGCATCTATTTTAAACTTGAAAACAGGGTACACCTGTATTCAGTCTGTATGTGTATTTTGTGCCCATTGGTCACATTAGACTTATAATAACCCTAATAACATTTTGAAGGTCTGTGATATATTTAAGCAATAGTTTTATACTGCCACCCAACAGTGAATTTCTGTGGTCAAGCAGGGATTCAGGTTCAGGCCTCCTGATCCACAGTCCACCACTCTATCCAATATACTACACTGGTTCTCATCATTATGTTTATAGTATCCAAACCAAGGTGTTGATTCCAATCAGATTTTCAATTTTAAAAATCCTGAATGCTCCAACATCAGGCACTTAAAGAACCATCAGATTATATTTGCTATCATCATGGGCTACTGGTTGCATTATGGCAGCCAACGGTCCAATTTAGACCATTGGGGCTAGCTGGGGGGGGAGATCCCAAACACCTGGAACGCCATGAGTTGCTTATCCCCAAACATGATTCCAATCAGATTTTCAATTTTAAAAATCCTGAATGCTCCAACATCAGGCACTTAAAGAACCATCAGATTATATTTGCTATCATCATGGGCTACTGGTTGCATTATGGCAGCCAACGGTCCAATTTAGACCATTGGGGCTAGCTGGGGGGGGAGATCCCAAACACCTGGAACGCCATGAGTTGCTTATCCCCAAACATCTTGTTAGGAATTGGGGCTAGCTGGGGGGGGGGGAGATCCCAAACACCTGGAATGCCATGAATTGCTTATCCCCAAACAACTTGTTAGGAGGAGAAAATATAAGTTTATTACCATTGTTCAAACTGTTTGCCATCAGTTGTGCAAGACTGCAAGTAGGCCGAAAGGTAGCGTTCCAGGAGCCGCTTCCCCCTGCCCGAGACCCAGTTCATATAGAATAGGGGCCATGAGATAGAGGCACCATGATACGAAAAACAAACATAATACAGAACTAAATGGATTAATAGTTCCACCCAGTAACAAGCCACTTGGCTGTAGGAGATGGGAATACCATCAGTCCGAAGTTCTCTTAAAGGCCAGCTTTCTACGTACTCTGGGCCAGATTCTTTTACCTGCATGAGTTTCATGGCCACCAACTTGAAGCCCTTCTTCTCAAAGCGCCGGATGATCTCACCCACCAAATGCCGCTGCACCCCGTCCGGCTTGATAGCAAGGAAGGTCCGTTCATTCACCCCAGTGAATACTAGCGGGGGTGGGGCGGGGGGGGAGACAAAATTAATTTCCATAGTAAATTTATTTTCCCATCACTCTACCAACTATTCCATTCAAGGTGAGGAAGAATAACATATGGAATTGAAGTCTAATTTTATTGAGGAGGAGATTATAAGGTTTATTTTTCTAAGCCGCAGTTTCCCCCAGTAATGCCACTTGCCCTAAAGTCTAGGGAGACGAGGTCAGACAAGATGTAGATTTTGTGATGGCCCAAAGCTGCCTTGGGCTTGCAGTGGCCTTCGTCGGCCACTGGCTCGGTCGGGTGGCTCTCCTTGAAAAAGGAAATCTCTGGAAAGGGAGTATCAATCAGTGTTAATAATACGGTAAGTAGGACCCCCTTATCTATGGGATCAGTATTCACTGATTCACTTACCCATGATCTGAAAATGTTCAAAATATTAAAAGAAATACATATATTTCTAAAGATTAAGTTACCTGAATAAGCCATTAGAAGCAACCACCCCATGCTATGTATGTATATTTATTTATTTATTCATTCATTTTATTTCTATCCTGCCTATCTGGACTTTTTAGACCACTCTAATCTGAAAATGTTCAAAATATTAAAAGAAATACATATATTTCTAAAGATTAAGTTACCTGAATAAGCCATTAAAAGCAACTATCCCATGCTATGTATGTATATTGTTGACTTTAAAAAAAAATGTGTTTCCACAATATCATGACCAGAACTGGTCACTAGAGGGAGCCAGAGACCATGCTATAGTGATTACTACTACTGTATTAAAATAGCGTTCGCCATTATCCGCGTTTTTCAGCATCTGCGGTGGGAGGGGGGAAGGCTCGGAACCAATCCCTCCTGGACACGGGGATCCCACTGTACTATGCAAAATGGACCAGTATTCTGGCTCAAGTCAAGGCCACTCCATATAACTGAAGAACTAATTGGGAACCATTGCAGCATATTGCTAAAGAAGGAAAACCGCATGCAGGCACTTTTTTCCCTCAGACGCAAAAATAACTCGGCTTGTTTCGGGCAGGGCCCGATGAAAGGGGACGCGTGTCGAGAAGGGCGCCGGGGGTACCCCCCCCACTCACTCACCCGCCTGAAAGAGACCCGCCAACAAAGCCAGCAGGAAGATCATGACGGCGCCCAAAACAGGGTCCGGGCAAATCGGCGGAGGAGGTCGGAAATGGGAGCCCTGCGCTCTTTTCCTATCTCTATGGTCTGCTAGATCTACGTCCATTTCGACGCGACCGCCGTGCGAGGGGCCACTCTATACCTTTTCCTATCTCTATGGTCTTCCTGAAAGAGACCCGCCAACAAAGCCAGCAGGAAGATCATGACGGCGCCCAAAACAGGGTCCGGGCAAATCGGCGGAGGAGGTCGGAAATGGGAGCCCTGCGCTCTTTTCCTATCTCTATGGTCTGCTAGATCTACGTCCATTTCGACGCGACCGCCGTGCGAGGGGCCACTCTATACCTTTTCCTATCTCTATGGTCTTCTAAATCTACGCCCATTTCGCCGTGGCCGCCGTGCGAGGGGCCACTCTACCCCTTTTCCTATCTCTATGGTCTTCTTGATCTACGTCCATTTCGACGCGACCGCCGTGCGAGGGGCCACTCTACCCCTTTTCCTATATCTCTGTTTTGAGTAATCTACGCCCATTTCGCCGTGGCCGCCGTGCGAGGGGCCACTCTACCCCTTTTCCTAT